GTTCCTCTGTGATGTCATCAGATTCTCCTGCAGACAGGAAGTAGTAGCTAGCATTGTTGCTTCCTGTCCGTCCGTCCTGCGTGAACATAATAACTTCCGATTTGGCAATACTTTGTTTTTCTTATTTTTTTTAATTCTTCTGTTTTTTTATGGGCTGGGATCCTTTTGAATATTGTTTTTTATTTGCATAAATATTTCATATTCTAAAAATTTTTTAAAAAGCAATACGTAAAAAAACACTTAAATAACCTTTGGAACATCACTGTGGCTCTGAGCATCCGCCAATATACGTCACTTAGGGTAAACGATTAGATTAGCTATTTCATTTTCTCTGTACTTCACTAACATCACTGATCAAACAACAGATTCATTCATGATCTGCAGTTCTATAGTCAGAATGAATCATTTCCCAAACATCTGGATTTTGATTCCAGGAGAAAATTAAGGATTTCTCAACATTTGATAGTTAAAGGTAAGAACATTTTAAGTAACTATCCAGAAATAATAGATTTATTATATGCAGTGTTGGGGAGTAACGGATTACATGTAACGACGTTACGTAATTTAATAACAAAAAAAGAGTAACTGTAATTCGTTACAGTTACAATGAGAAAATATGTAATTCAGTTACAGTTACTTCCGAAAATATTGAGAATTACAAATTTAGTTACATTTTTTAAAAAATATAAAGAAAACCTTTGCGAATTATGTAATGATATTTTTTATTGCTTCGCGCCCTGTATCGCCTTTCCCGCTACGGCTCCTTGTCTCTATCATATTTGCCACTCTGATGATCCATCCTGTGCTGGTGGAGTGGAGCCTCCTTGAGGAACAGCGAGCGAGCGGACGGTTCTATTTCAGCTCAAGCAGCGCATCAAACAGTGATGGGCAGTAGCGCCGCTACATGTAGCAAAGCTATTAGTTTAACTGCATGTTCCAGTAGCTTGACCGTAGCGTCGCTGCTTTATTTATCAAGTAGTGACGTTATTGCTTTGATCAAGTAGCGACGTAGCGTCCAAAAACGCTACAAAATCCAGGGCATAACTAAGA